CAGCACTCGCGGACATCGCCCGTCCCTTGGGGTGGGGGGCACGCGGGGGCGGTCCTGCCGCTGCCACCGGGTGTGGACGGGTCTGCAGGGCACCGGGTTTGCCCTGGAGCTTGCTATCCATGGCGACAGAAGGGTGAGGGGCAATTTTCAGGGGTGGCGGCCGTGTAGTCTTTGGGCACTAGCGATTTCCTGGGGTCAAATTTTTATCGCGCGGAACGTCTCGGGGCGATCCCAAAGATTAGGGGACCGGTGCGAGGGGGAGCTAATTGGGGGCAAACCGAGGGGTATTTTCGTGATTTGGAAGTGGAATGGGACTATTTTAGGACACAGGAATTGATTGATAATTTCAAATTTTTGATAGGGTGTGTGCTTGGGTGGAATCAATGGGTACTAGTTTTGTTCGTGCCTTGTTTACTGGTCCTAAAGCGGTAAGTGCGGCGGCTGGCCCATGCCAAGATAAGGTCTGAGTGCGCGCGCATCGGCAACTACTACTAGTACTAGATCAAAACAACCGTGCACCAAAGACGCTAAGACTTACCCGAACATGGAACTGCTGCTGCCGGTGAGAACGGGCCTTCGGAGCCAGGCCACGGGGCCAGAACTGCTGCTGACGATGCTGGTACAAACGACGGAAACTCCCTTAGAGCGCCAGCTTAAGCATTTGAACTCACAGATGTCGCAGTTGGTGACTAACCTCGATACGCTCAATAAGAATGTCGACACGATGTGTACTCAGTACCGGAGCATTGAGGAGCTTGGCGTCATCCACGCGTCGTTATTCATGGCGGGAGTGAAGGTTTATGAACATAACCTCGATGATAATGGCGGTAATAATGAGACCAATGATGATGACTAACTTGATTTGACAAGTGAATTACGATGAAGTTGAACCATAGTACCTTATGTTGTTTTGGTTGATGTCAGATGATTTGACCAGAGATCATTCACCTTACATGTTGTGATCCTGGCTAAGCATTAATCAATAGCTGACTCAACAAGAATAAGAGCTATGTGATTACTTGTGACACATGGATCAATAAGAGGAATCGATGCTGAAACAGATCAGGGATTAAATCAACGATCAATCAGTTCATTGTCTCCATCGCCTACTTAGAGATCGATCAATTGGTAAAGTTCGCAGACTGGTGTCGCTACCATAAAACCAACTACAATTCGATTCAATCTAGCATCATTATACGTTTCACATCCGATAATCCCAAATTGATCAATGCTCCATCTACTTCATAAACTACTAGCCGGATACGAATCATTTGAGACACTTTGTGGTAGTTATCGCGCGCACCTAACAAGTCAGCCAGCCAAAATTGAAAGCGTAAAGGTACCATGAATATCACCGCTACAACCGCTCAATTGCCTCAAATGACCTAACATAGACATCCAGTTACCTCAAATAACACACCTTTTGTTTCATTTAATCCAATCTTCGCTTTGTGGCTTGATTTACCTCTCCCTTCCTCCTCTTACTTTGCTTGCCATATTGCGCGCCCACCACACACCCTCACGCCCGCCATGGGGATCCTCAACGACAGCGACCGGGACAAGGTGAAGCGCCACATCCCCAAGGCGCTGAACAAGATCATCGATGCCACCGTCGCCCGCTTGTACATTGCCTACCCTGACCGCACCTCGTGGACGTACACGGGGCTCAGCGGCGCCATCGCCCTCGTCGACGACCACGTCGGCCACACTTACTTCCTCAAACTTGTGGACATTGTCGGCGCCCGGGGCGTGATCTGGGACCAGGAGCTCTACGTCAACTTCGAGTACAACCAGGACCGCAAGTTCTTCCACACGTTCGAGATCGAGGACTGTCTTGTTGGCCTTCTCTTTGAGGACACCAAGGACGCCGCCCACTTCTACAAGCGCGTCACCAGTCGCCACAAGCACGCGCTGCGGGCGACGGTGAACAACAAGAACGCGATTGCGCTTAAGCAGCGCCAGGGGGCGCCGGCGGCACCGCAGCAGGGGCCGCGGGGCGAGTACGTCGACACAACGACGGCGCAGCGCCAGCGCCACGCCCGCGGCGTGCTCTACTACGACGGGGCGCCGCCGCCGGAGTGGCGCCTGCTCTACCGCGAGCTCGAGCTGGCGGGGATCACCGAGGACATGATCGCCGATAACCGCGAGTTTATCAAGGACTACATTGCTAAGCAAGGGGGGCCGTTAGTGGGGTTGGAACCTCCCATCCCGAGACGGTTTGCCAGCGCCGCTAACTCCACTCCCGACTTATCAGATTTGGTGACGCCGCTGTCGCTGACGAAGAAGAAGGCGCCGCCGCCGCCACCGGGCGCGGGCGCTCCCAGTGCGCCGTTTAGCGCTGGGTCTACATCTTCACCTACGCCCCCGCCAGGCTCGAGCGAGTCGCCCGAACCCTCAGCTACACCTACACCTACCACGTTCAAGCCACAATTCCGCGTGCCGCCACCGTTATCGCTGGCGCCGGCGCCGTCAGTATCCGCCAATAAGGCTTTACCTGAGCTCCCTCAACTGCCAGCGCTGCCTCTAACGCCGCAACTGCCGGCGCCCGGAGCGCAACCACCGCAGGCTCTCCCACCGAGACGAGGATTGCCGCCAGCGCCTCCTCCTCGAGCTACTGGGGGAGCGCCACCACCAGCTCCTCCCCCACGCGCTACTACGGGAGCTGGCGCCCCTCCTCCACCTCCACCACGCGCTCGCGCCGCAGCGCCACCACCAGCGCCGCCGCCTCGAGCCAGAAACGGCGCTGCTGCCCCTCCACCCCCACCAAGAGTGCTTCTGCCACCTTCAGCAACCCCTCAACAGCCTCAAGCACCACCACAATTCACTCTGCCGCCGCCTCAGGCTCCGCCAATGGCGTCGCCGCCACCATCGTTACCTCAGCGCCAAGTGCCGGCGCCGCCACCGACGGCGCCCGCAGCGCAAACCCAAGTACCACCTCCACCACCTCCTCCCATGGCGCAAAGCCAAGCAGCACCCCCTCCACCGCCTCCCTTACCCCCTCAGCCAGCAGCAGCGCCTACTACTGCGGCAGCGGCGCCGCCTCCTCCTCCACCATTACCGCCGATGGCTGGTGGGGCGCCTGCGCCCGCTACTGGCGCCGGACCGCCGCCACCGCCACCGCCGCCGCCTGATCTTGGTGGCGCTGCGCTGGGCGGACCGCCTCTCCCTACACCTGACGCTGGCCGTGACGCTTTACTCTCAGCGATTCGGGGCGCCGGCGGCGTGGGGGCGCTTAAGAAGACGGATAAGTCACAGCTTGAGCGCCCTAACGTGTTGCTTCAGGAAGCTCGCGGTGAGACTCCCGCCGCACCTCCTGGGGGCGCCGGCCCCGGCGCCGCTGATGGCGGTCTTGCCGGCGCGTTAGCCGCCGCTTTGAACAAGCGCAAGAACCGCGTGGCGCAATCCGACGACGAAGACGACGAAGAGTGGTAACGACACCAACGACAAAAATGACAACATCAGATTTACATTACATGCGGAGTGGAGGCATTCACGATGCCAAAATCACTTACATTGACATCGCAATAAACGCCCTTCATTTTAGATTTAGTGACAATTGTTCAGTCATTATCTCTTCAATCGGAGATGAAATGATTGACGATTAGGTCCATGAAAGTGGTCCACTGAGTGGTACAAAATTGTAGGGAGTCAAATGCGATTTAACGAATGACTTTAAACTAGCCCAAAATCCTAGCAAAATTCAGACGAAGTTTGTCACCTCTTTCTAATTTTATTATTTTCACATTGCCTTTTGACTGGTGCCATCTCATAAGGAATATGAACTCTTGCTAAGTTTTGGCCATGGTTCGTTGGATAATATAGGTAAAAGAGATCATGAGAGTTATAGATTTTAGTGAGGGTCAAAGAACGTTAACGCAGTGCTCATCTCATGGTAGCGCCACTCTCCTGCAGGTAATTCAACATCAATTTTCAGGTCAGTTTCCAACCTGCACATAACCACACTCTCTGTGCACACCGAGGCCCGGCTCGCGAGCGACAAAATTTTTACCTCTACTCATTTCAGTTTTTTTCTTTCATTCACATCCGTATCAGCAAACATGGACAACAAGACTCCCGTTACTTTGGCCAAGGTTATTAAGGTTCTCGGCAGAACCGGCTCCAGAGGTGGTGTTACCCAAGTCAGAGTTGAATTCCTCAACGACACCAACAGAACCATCGTGAGAAACGTCAAGGGCCCCGTCAGAGAAAACGACATCTTGTGCTTGATGGAATCGGAAAGAGAAGCCAGAAGACTCCGTTAAGAGGTTGGGGACGTCATTTACACTTTTTTTGGGAATCCGTACTTGGATGGTCTTAATACACAACATCTATTGAACTATGTGTAGGTGGGGGTTTTACCGTCAATGGCAAGCAGAGTTCTGAAACAAGGATGACGTTTTGTGATTGATTGGAAACTTCTATATCAACGTGGTGAATGTTACTACGGGTTAGCGCCTTAGTACGGCTTTGCCACAATTAGCCTTAAATCGTCGCCTTCCTAATTGGGACGGAGGCTCCTCTCATCACTACTGAAAATTTGGCACGTGACTTAGGGTTCGCACCCTAAACCCAATAGTGGCAAATGTCACTAGCCACACTTCTCCCCTAAAAGTAGAGTCCAACACCCAATATCATCAGTCACCACCGTCATATCAGGTAGTCTCTATCATTGAATTTCAATAATTCTTGTTTTCTCGTTGTCCCTTCGCTTTGATCTCCAAATTCGCAATATAATCATAAAACCGCACGTCTCACTCGCGTCTGTGGGGAAAATACGACGCGCAGAGCGATAACCGTTTACCATCAAGGACATAGCCATCAACTACTACGATCAATCCCATGGTCAACCAAAAATTTGGTTGTTTCAAACCTGCTAAAGCGTAATTATAGTCTAAAACTTTCGTTCATCCCCCTACCTTGGTATTAAATCCATTTTCAAGCTGTACCTCTCTGTCTCTTCTTTTGCCATTTATCAGCAGTTCATTTCGTTCACCGTTCCTTATAGTAGTCTTCCGTACATTTGTTGTTTGTGCGGGCTTGCCAAACACTCGTGCAGCAAAGATTCATCGATCGATACTTGTGCGACTCGCGCGCCCTCCCTACTAACAAGTGCCCCACATGCTGGACTTAGACGAGGACTTGTTGGCGCTTGCCGGCGGTGCTGACGGCTCCGACCACGACGAGTCGCTCTCGGACGACGAGGTGCTTGCCAAGAAAGTCCGCCACCACGACGCCGACGGCGATGACGACGACGACGGTGAAAACGACGATGACGACGACGAAGGCGAATTCGACGAGGACGGCGACGCTGACGACGATGACAACCTCAACGAGGAATTAGTCAACCCGTACCCTTTGGAAAACAAGTATAAGGACGAAGCCGACCGGGCTGAGCTCGAGGCAATGGACGAAATGCTGCGTGAATCTATTCTCTACGAAAGAGCCCAGGAAATGCAGAAGTTCACCGAGCGCAAGTACTTGGTGGAGCGGGTACGCAAACTGAAGCAACAGGCGCTGCTGGCGCCCACGAGACTGCTGACGAGAACGCTGGCGCGGTCGCTGAAGGACGACAAATTGCTGGAGTTGAAGAAGCAGCGGGAAAAGAAGCGCAAGCGCGACGCCTACGAGTACGAGCTGGACGAAGACGACCAGGAAGAAGAAGAGGAAGAAGAGGAAGAGTTTGATGAAGAGGACGATTACGACGACTACTGGGGCGGTGCTCGCCGCGACCGCGACCGCGACCGGCGTTCGTACGAGCGTGCTACTGTTGCCGATATCGCTAAGATCTGTGTCGGGCGGTCAATGTTGGCGAAATACTGGTACTATAAAGGGTACGCTGATACCGTTATCGACTGCTATGGGCGTATCAACTTGGACTGGGAAAAGCGTAACAACCGCCGCCCACCTCAATACCGGTTGGTGAAGATCATCGACGTGATTAACCGACCGGAAAAAGCCTATAATGCCGGCAGCAACGGTAAGCTCGATGTCTTCCTTAAAGTATCGCAAAACCGTCAACAACAAAGAGAGTTCCCTCTCCCTTTCTTCCTGGACTCGCCCCCCACGGCTGATGATTTCGACCGTTACGTTAAAGAACTTGAGAAGACGAACGAACTGATAGACTATGTTGATGACGTTAACGAAAAGGAAGGACAATTACGCCACTTGGTCACTCGGGGGATGGACGACGACGATATCAACGAGAAGGTTGCCAAGAAGCAAAAAATAGCGGCCCAACTGCTGGCCAACGCCGACGCTAACTTAACCGGGTACGATGCCGTCACTCGTAAGGCTCAGCTTAATGACGAATTGAAGGTGGCTAAGCAGCAGAGCAACATGGAGCGGGCTAAGGAGCTCGCCGAGCGCATTGCTCGTCTCGACGAAGTGATTGCCAGCCTGCAACTGAGCTCGCAATCGATCATGGCCAAGCTCAACGAGAGAAACCGGAAACTCAACCTGCAGAACATCCGCAAGGCCGAGATTAAGGATAAAGTGACCCTCGACAATACTCCTGCCGACGACACCGACCCCTTCCTGCGATTGAAGACTACCACCAGAGTGTACTACCAGGAAATGATCGATAAGGAGAACAAGAAGGCGATTGAAGACGCGAAGAAGACCGCCGCCGAACGCCAAGAGGAACAGGAGAAGAAGGAAGAGGAAATGGAGAAGCTGACCTACCGCGTGTCGGGGGAAATGGACAAGTTGATCGGGCTGATCGACGTGCAAATCGAGATCAAGTTATAGCATGACTGAATAGTAATGACAAAACCACTAGATACCTAAGGGTCCCAATTTGCTCCTAATCAGTCCAGTACCACCAGTGACGACCATCTATGATATTATATACCGTCTTCCATCATCAATCTACCATGGTGATATGAGGTATTTTGACTCTAGATTTAATTTTACTATTTCGACTCTAGTTTTATTTGAGAGTCAGGTGGTTTAACTACACAAACAGCCAGATGGCAAATGCATTACTCTACGTACACGTTGACCAAGTAGTCCAACACTTTGCCCACGGCTTTAATGTGCCAAGGCACAAGTTCGTCGGCTTTGCCTTCGCCGTTGAGCCCCAAGATGTCGTTCATCAACACCAACAGCTTATACTGCTTGAGGATGATTTGCATCAAATTGTCCAACAGCCAGTAGTTAGGACACAGCAACAAGCTCACCTCAAACACCAACATCTTATCGTCGTCCTCTTTAGCCAAGTAACCCATTCTCATCCCCAATTTCAGTGGCAGATTCAATGAAGGGAGGGGCGAGTGAGGGATGATCGCCCAGATATCGGTGGCAGGGTCGTGTAAGAGGATATCTGTAGTCGGCAAGGCCCCGGTATTACCCAGTGTAGGCGTGCCGATACCGTTAGTTGGCACTTGTGTATCTTGAGGAGAAAAGAACCCAGCGGGAGCATTGAGGAATTGCTGAGGGGAGTGGAAGTTCGGCGACGTCACGAGCGTCGACGGCAGTGTCTCCGTCAGCCGGTTATTGAACTGTCTGAAGAACGATTCGCGGTCAATGATTACCGACGTCTCGGGTTTCGGCAACTCAGCGTCGTCATCGCTGGGAGGAGGCATCAGCACCGAGAATGTGTCTAATGTAGAGCGAGTCACTGAAAGTACGATGAGCCCCATCTCCTTATGCTTGGTGGTAAGCCGTTTCCAGTGCACCAACTCATCATCCAATATGATCAGATTGATCCGCGTGAGCACCAAAAACCGCTTGCCGCCCACCAGCAGGGTTTTGTTGTATAACTCGTCGTTGATGCGCTTGCAAAAGTCAGATGACACCTGCCAGATCTCGTCGATGATGTCGCCGATCTGCTTCTGGCCATCGCAATACCACAGCTTCGTCATATTGACCAATCCCAACGGGTCGCTCCACGCACACGAGATCCAGTGCTTGTCCAACGAGCGGTCGAACGCTAGGTGCAAGAAAATATCGTCGTTAAACAGACTCTTGGTACCCTTGGCCGACTGGTGCTGTTGCATGAACTTAAACTGGATGCGTTGGGGTGGATCACGCACAATATGAGTGTATAAATTGTTGCCGTATTGTGGTTCCACTTCGTCGAGAGTGTATCCAGCATTGGGACAGATGGTGTACAAGTTGAGCGAGAGCATTGTCAACTTGATATTGGAGAATGGGCGCAAGCGACAGTAGCCCTCGGTGTTCTGCTTCACCACGTACAGTGCCGGCACCACCTTGGTGAAGAATTTGACGAGGGGGAGCTGGTGTCTCAGCAACGACACCTTGAAGTCCCTGAATACCTTCGCAATCTGGAGCAACGAGTTGTAGTTTTGTTCCTGGAAATTAACAAAGAGAACGAGAAGGGGACGGTCAAACTCGAAATTGTTGGTCTTGTTGATCAAGTCCAATTTAATCAACTCCACCAATTGGGAAAGACGGCGGCGGACCAGAAGGATATCGTCGTCATCCACGGATATAACCCCTTGAATAATGCTTTCAAGATCAAGATGTGATTCATCGGGCAGCAAGTTGACGCGGGTGATGCTCCCCAAGTTGCTCTCGTGGTAGTTATTGACCACCTCAGTGACGAAATCGTGGAGATACAGCGAGTTGTCAGGGGTGGAGCGACCAATAGCCACTACTTGAAACTTCTTGGGAGGCATGATGGGGCTAAAGTTCAAGTAGTTCCAGAAGGGAAGGGCGAAGCTGTTCAAATTGATAGTTTCTTCATTCTTCTTCAACCGGATTTTGGTGGTGGGGAGGGAGAAGATCTTATCTTCGCCATGGTCCCAATCATCGCGGAGTTGAGGAGCCAATAATTGAGTGAGTACAGAGCCATACTCTTCGTATTTGTCACTGGTGGTACCGGAAATACCCTCCCATTCAAGCTTATCGAGTTTACGGAGCAAGCGGGAAATGGTAGACGCTCCGTTACTCAGCAGAGCGAAAACCCCTTCACCACCATCGTCGTTTCCAGCATCGTCGTAGCCAGTAGTAATGTCACCCAAAAACTCAATTTGTTCCAACTCCAGCGACTGAGGAGGCTGGAACCCATCGAGAAACTCAAGCAACAGCATGCGGTAGCTCTGAGGGAACACCGAGTTCCACTGGTCAAAGAATTGTGTCGGTGGCATTGAGTACACGAGCTGGTCCGGGTGCTGCTTCAAGTTGAGATTGAGGTCAAAGATCAACAGCTCGTGGAGATACTTGAGAAGCACGTCGACGTTCTGCGCCAGCACCACCATCTGGTCCTGTTTCAACGGGTCAAAGTCGTCCGTCTGGATGCCATCGTCGTCAATGTTATAGTTTGTCGGCACCTCTCTTTGGTTATTCAACAAGAAACGAGGGGGGATGGTGGAGACGTTAGCACTTCTCAAGATGAATGGCAAGTAGTTCAGCGACAGCTCGGGGGGCAGCACCATCAGCGGCTCCTGGGGGTGGTGATGGTGGTGGGGGAGTTGTTTCTCCTTGATCAACACCACATCAGCATCGGTATCCACCACCATCGCGTCAGTTTCCTCAGTGTTTGGGTCGTGTATATCTCCTGAAGCATCTTCTTCCTCAACCTCTATAACGGGAGGAGTAACACTGTCAAACGGGAGGTCTTTCGCCAGCAACGGACCAAACGAGCGCACGCCAGGACTACCCAAGTACGCCAACCCGGTTTGGTGGCCAGACTTAGCCATATCGCGGTTGCTGCGTGGGGTATCAAACGGTTGCGGGAACAGAAACGTCATATCGGGAAACTTATATGGCGGTGACGGTGGGGCCACTTTATTGGTCGCAGCACCTCCTACCGAAGTAGCGGAGGTTGCAGCAGCAATACCCAGAAACTCAGGGATGCCAATGGTCTTGTTGAACCACTCTTCCGCCGGGTAGCGAGTATCTTCAACATCGTCGGCGTCAGACTCGCTCAGGTCATCGAGATCCAGTATCACTTCAGGGAGCTCTCGTTTCGGCTTGATATCGTCGAACGGAAGTGTGCCCAGTACCAGTGTTTCACGGATCAGTTCTCGGCGTTTCTGAGGTTCTTCAACGGCTTTCTCAGCTTTATCGACGTAAAACTTACCGCCTTTACCGTACTTGGTATCGATATTGCTCTGAATGATGGGGTTGAACAAAATAGGAGAAAAAGCCAGCTTTTCCTCGCTGCCACTGCGCTCGTTGTGGGGTGGTTGGGGCTGGGCCAAAGGTGGTGGGGGTGGAGGGTAGCGCGACCCAAGCATCGGAGAGCCGTTGCCCACAGGATTGGTATGAGCTAAATTAGGCGTAAACATGATCGGTACAGGGGCCCCAGGGTCTCGGTAGCCGGGAGTATCTTTGGCATCCTTAGATATGGTCATTTTGTCCTTGGGAATGTCGATCACTTGCTCCACTATCAGCTGCGGTAGCGTACGTTTAAGATCCTCTCGGTCCACAGGCAGCAAGTTCTCTGGCGCAGGAAACAGCTTGTTGGCTTCAACAGAAGCGGAACGGCTGCCAGAGCCTTCTCTCAGAACATCATCATTAGGGCAAGTAGGGGCAATAGCCTCCGAGGGTTCGTCATCGTCTCCGCCGAATAGATTAAATAGCCCATCAGTATCTTCAGTTTTGGCAGCAGCCGCACTGAGATTATCGTCGCCGCCAAAGAGATCGTCGATGTCCATCGAGTCGTCCAGCGGGTGTTGTGGGTCCGCTGCCCCTGCTAGCAGCAACGGATCGTTTGCGGTAGCGTTGATCTCTGGTGGGGGAATGCTTCCAGGGTGGCTGGTATTATCACCAAAGAGGTCATCATTTCCGGAAAACATTTCGGGGACGATGGGAGTGACGTCCATCAGCCGGGGCATAGCGATCGAATTAGGTGCCAGACCCAACTGGGGAGGCTGAGGCTGGGTCAGCGACATGCGACGGTGACTGTGGTTGATGTTATAATCGATAAACTCCAGCATGAGTGTAAGAGGTACCAGGGGAGCGGCCACTTCTGATATTGAGCGACGAGGTTGAGGCGGCACAAACGGCTCCATCTCGCCGAACTGGAGAAGACACATGTCCCACGGCCACAATATGCACTTGCGGTTGTCAATAGTGTGAATGAATTTGGCAATTGTGGAAGTTTGGTTGTTCCACTGCTTTAAATTAGGCACCAATTTTATCCACACGATGTCGGCAGGATTATCGTAAGTCCGGCCGGTAGCCAATCGTATGAGGTTTAGTATAACCTCAACGTTATCGTGGTCGTTTTTGGTAACGATATTCGCCGCTAGCAGATCAGGATCACATAAATGGCACCTTATGGCGGTAGGTATGGTATAGATGACGAAATTGACCTCTGACTGCAGCTGCCAGTCAATTGACAGCAGTGGTTGAAGCCTGGGTCGGTCCTTGACGAGGATCAGCACCACCAAGTCGCCGGAACTGAATAGAAATGGGTCAATATAGAGCACGCGGCCATCGTCAGCTAACACCCCGTAGTTGCCGAATAAGTGCACCTGATGGTGTAACAGTAACATGTACATGATCATCTTCTTCACCGCTTTGACGAAGGCAATGTTGGCAAACGGTAGGTAGTAGTCGGCCTGAGGCGTGGCACCTTGTGCTGGCTGCTGAGGCTTGGGCGGCGCTGTGAACCGAGCCACCGGCACCGTAGCCCGGTGCTTCAACTTCACTGCTTCAGGAAACTGTTGTTCGAGGTCAATTACCTCTGGCGTCACTGAAAACAGGAAGAGACACTTGTTGTTGTAAGTGAGAAGACACCGGGGGTGGCGCGAGCGCCATTCGAGCTCGGTCTCGAAAAGCCGCTGGTCGTTGCCATCGGGACTGAGGTAGATGGCATAGGAGATCGCCTTCAAGTGGGCGAGCTTGTAGTAGTGGGTGGAGATCGCCAGCGGGGGGGCTTCCATCACTACCACGAGTCGCTATGGGGTCTAACGCGCGAAAATCATCACCAAAAGTGGGGGACGGAATCTCGAACCAGAGTGAGAAAAGACACACTAGAATAAGAGAACTTTGAGATAAAATCGATGGTTATGGTGCTTTGGTGGTGAATGATGCATGGTTGAGTTCGTGTGAGTGGCATGTCGCTATAATGGTGAGTCACACCGTTCTTTCAAAAGAGGTGAGTAAGGACAGGGATACGATACCAATCATGAGTTCCACTGAGATATTTCGGTGAGCTTCAGTGAGCTGTTTGTGTTTCAATTATTTTGATGTGCTACAAGCTGTGAATGTTTGATTAAATGCATTAACTAAATAAGAGAGCCCAACCTCGAGGTTCCTTCGAAGTTCACCTGTCATTGGCCAGGAAGTCAGTGAAGAAAGAGGTGAAAAAGAATTTCCGCCACCCCCACTTGGTGGGTCCGTGACGGCAGAGCGAGGCACCCTAGGCTGAGTATATTGGCCGCCGACACACCCACTCTGTATCCTTCCAAACCACCAAAGTCTTCGAAGCTTATCAGTGGCTGGATGGTGCAAAGACACGCTTACGCCAACCACCGATTTCTTCGAAGCTTATCGATGGCCAGCACAAGGCTCACTCAGCCCCCGAAGTCTTCGAAGCTTATCGGGGAGGATTGAGTGGTGCGCTGAGAGATAGAAACTGACTGGTGAACATTGACAGGGGATGCTGGCCCTTTTATGCCCCTGTACTGCACACTGGCTTGGAACCCGAAGTTTTGGGGAGTTACCCGCCTTTGCCATTATATCCGTGGTCAAGGTAATCTGTGCCTGACTACTACTGAGCTAATCGGAGGTGGTGTGCGCATGCTGGGCTAGAAACCACGCCGACTTCATTATTCTCGTGCCCATTGTGCATTGCATCGTCAACTGGTAGAGTCGTCAAGGGCAAAAATACCCTGCGAACGGTTAGTCGTGTGTGCGGTTACTCTCGAGTGTGATGTGTACGGTGAGTTTCGATTAGAGTGAGTCATCCCAGTTTAGATTCGAGTGATCTACCTAGCTTGTTCGTTGCAAAAGATTCTGTTAGGTTCAACACTGGAATGCGGGGAACGCTATGCGTCGTCATTTTAGACGGGTCAAGTCGGAAACAACGAACGCACTCGACTTTAGGGGGGCACCATATCCAGGAATGGCCTCCGACGACAACATAAAAAGCGTGTGGTCGCTCTCATTCTTCATCTAAACCTTCTCGGCGACCTCCATTATGAGTTGAAATCCACTCTGGTCTGCCTCCACATGGGACCGTGACCTACATACATGGTACCCGCTACTGACTGACGATTTTACTGACGCTACTACTTGCTGTTGACGATACTGCTCGCGGCTCGCTGTTTATCGCTGTTTGCTGATTTTATTCTGTCGCCTCCAGCTGCTAAAAACTTCGAAGGATTGGCGGCTAAGCCGACTGCTCGCTGGACTTGACTCGTGCTCTGTCACGCTGCAACCAGTAATACTCCATGACCATCCCGTAGGCGGGGGAGATAGTGCACTCTCATACACATCCCCTATGGGCGGTAGGCAAGACACTCCAGTCTGATTGTATCCGCAACGACAGATTAGCCCTGGTCGGCCAACAAGTACTTGGACCTCGCGCGAAAACTGATGGCACTCCATCGACTGTCACTGGCCATGCTTGGACTGGTAAGGGGAGTTGATGGGTCTCCTTTTTTCAGAAATTTTGTAGGTTCGGGGTCTGGTTTGTGGCATGTGTATAGGTACTTGTATAGGTCTATAGTTAGATTAGTCATATAATAACTATAATCAAGGACTTTTTCAAAAACTTTCTTTATTTGCCTTACATAGTCCAGGGATTTGAGTCTTTTCATCAAGCCCTACGTAGTTCAATGATTTGTGTCTCCTACAATTGGCTTCCATGACGTGTGTCGTATTTTATCTATCTGATCGTTATCATTACATTACTTCTTGCTCTTCTTCTTCTCGGCCTCGGCCTCCTTTTCCGCCTCGATCTCGTCGACGTACTTCTTGATCTCGTCCACCGACAACTTCTCGATGACGTTGTGGGGCTTCATCACCAGCACCTCAATGTTCTTGGCCCCCGTCTGCACCACCTCCAACAACAGCTTCACCGTGAGCCTAATGGTGTCTTCGTCGGACAAGTCCTCGGTGTAGTTCTTCTCCAAGAACTCACGTACGGTCTTCGAACTGCGGCCAATGGCGTGGGCTTTCCACGCATTGTACACCCCCGAAGGTTCCGTCTGGTAAAGTCTAGGAGTGGTATCGTTGTGGTCAAAACCAGCGATGATGGTAGCAATACCAAACGGACGCACCCCACCCAGCTGGGTGTACTTCTGCTGGACGCCGGCAACGTACTTGGTCATGTATTCGACGGTGACGGCGTCTTCAAGGGTTAACCGGTGCGATTGGGCCTCAACACGAGCCTTATCCACAAGAATACGGGCGTCGGCGTTCAACCCGGCAAACGCCAACACCACGTGGTTGTCGATCTTGCACAACTTCAGCGGGGTGATCCGCGGGTCCTGCAACTTGAGGGTGGTCCGCTTCTCGCAGCCAAGCACCACACACTGCTTGCCCTTGATCCCCACGGCACACGTCCCCCGCTTCACCGCCTCCAGGGCGTACTCGACCTGGAACACATGGCCGTCGGGCCTAGATGGTTAGTATGCCAATTCGCTCAAACCCACTCGAATCTGTCATTTTATACGTACGAGAAGATCGATAATGCCGAGTCGTAGCCACTCATGGTATGTAGTCAGAAACAGGCCTCTCTGAATTTGGATGGCAAAAAGTCGAGGGCGCGCGCCACCCACACTGTGCGACAGTGAAAGTGCGGCGCTACCAATCTCAGTCTCCAGTAGGTGATGGCGAAGGCTAAACCAGGCCCCCGTCCGCCAAAGCAAGTTCCGGGTAAAGAACATTATGCCCGCATGCAACTTCTTCACCAGGCGGCCACCTGGTGCCAATTACACCGTGACCTAGCCCCGTTGGCGCGTGGTTATACTCGCAACCGAGACCTGGTGGCGAAGAAAACGGTATTGAAGCTCGCCCCAGAGTTAAAACATTTGCGATGCAAACATTGTTTTACACCTCAAATACCCGGTCTTACCACATCGACATTTATTGACAACCAGCTGCGACTACAGCTCCGCCATTGCGATGTGCTTGTGCGGCGATGTCTCCGCTGTGGCCACCACAAACGGTTCCCCGTGGGCGCTGACAGAGACCATGTTCCTTTCAGTCAACGTCCCGACGTTCAGTGTGAGCTTGGAGGTCCTCCTCCTTCGACCGTTTCTGAAGCAACTGAGGCTAATGATGATGTACACTAAATACGTTAATGACTATATATAATTGGACTTGATCCGGGGTGCCGGCTGCGCCTGTTTCCGCTGCACCGGCACCACTTTCGCCCCCAGCCAGTGGTACTTGAACCCGATCTCGTGGGCAAGAATCTCGCCAAACCCAAGCATCATCCCGTTGATGAAGGGAAGCACGAGATTGATGGCCGACTTGCGGATGATGGCCCACACATCGATGGTAGCCGGAACCAGCAGGCTTCCTCCGGTGGCAATGAGGTCGGACTCGATCTTTTCCGTGTCTAACACGTGGTCATGGTCGTGGTGGCGGGGGTGGTCCTGGGAGCCGCTGAACACGGTATAATCCTCTTCCACTTCGATCTCAATGATGGTGGGGGTAGCGACATCGGCCTCCACCTCTTGAGTATCGCTGGCTGGCCCCCGTTGTCTCAACTCCGCCTGGGTGGACATGGACAATCTTTGCGGGTGGTAGTGTAGGGTGAGGTTGAGGGATCTAGGCGATCGTGCGCACTCACACCCATGGTGCTTAAAGCGAGAGCCATGAGAAAAATAGTATGAACTACACCATACCTTTAAGTAATATCAAGTCACATGCGTACTTGATGAATCCCAACAGGTCCGTTTGTTGACCCCACAAGAGTAGCAACACTATAGGCTGAATTTGGTAGGGTTCATGACGAGTTTCGTTAGGCAGTGTGCACGCACAAACCACTCCCAGGTAATCTCAGTGTGACTTCTAATGAAAGTACTTCCAATGAAATGGGTGAAATGATTTCAACTTTCACGAGGGAAGCACTCGGTACAACTTCTTGGAGAGTGATCATCTCCTGATATCTTCGCTCTGTTTGGAGGGGTACATCTGTGGTTAGCGATAGCGTTGTGATCTTGGCTTTGAGATGGTGTCCTTACACTATCGAAAAGCTTGTTCTAACGGCTGGAGCTACCCCACATCAAATTGGGATCATGTATAATCCCATTGAGACAGTCGTCACAAGGTAGATCTATGGCAGAGCCGGCCGCTTTTCGGCACAATCAAATTTGACCTAGGGGCATTCCTAAATTGGCAGCACATACACTAGACCCAAATACTTTAAACGTAATACCCCAACTGAAGAGCAATTTATGAGATTAAATTTGGTCGACCAGCCTTGATCCTCAAATCAACTGGTCGTCGGAAGTGGGGAAATTCTTGGCACGATGCCGTGAGCGATGATGGCAGCAGTAGACATTGAGCTACCCTGCTGGCCAAGCACCTGCAACTCAACGTTTGAACCAGCGACAAACACATTGGTAGAAATATACTTCTTAGAAATGTACAATTGCATGTTTGTTTGTAGCTAATGTGTGCTTAATGTAAAGTGACATTTCGCTAAGCTAACGCTAATTGTGATTGAGGTAACAGTTCAAACCCTAAAGTGAAATATATGTAGTTAATATCCTAGTAATCTTGAATGCTTTTGTTTGGAGAGGTGTAAAATATGAAAATTTTAAGCCGAAAAGATTTCAAAAGCCGAGGAAAAAAAAATAAAAAAATAAAAAAAAACTAATTTTTTATTGAAATTTTTTTTTTTTCCCAGACAATTTCTGTTTACTATTACGCATATATTTGGATTGTGTGATTCACGGGGAAGGTATCAAAACTTGCTCAATCTGCGTTGAAACGATGGAAGCTTAGCCTGAAGATTCCTTTACTACATGCAGGATTGATCCATGACTGCATGAATACTCAACAAGTACTTCAAAATTCCATATAACTTCATAAGAGTATGCAGTCATTGAAAGATTGTAATTCAATTACGATAGTCACATCATCCCTCACTTAATCACAGTTTGCAATTGATAGCATCGTGATCATAATGCGTACGGCTATCACCAAATCCTGCGGGTAATGCAAGTAAAGTGAAATAACAAGCCCGGCAGAAGCCTGGTTCTCTGGACGTAGTCTCCGGCGGCTAGCCTGCTGCGTGCACGGATACTGGAAGTGTGTCACAGGCACCACACAGGGGCTGAACGTGGCCCAATCGTCTCGCCAGCGCCAAGTTGTGCCCAGACGGCGTTGGATGGTATCGAGGTTTGGTAAAGTGATCGCCGAAAGCTTTTGGAGCATAGGTGGCCACTGGACGTTGTTGGTAAGCACTAAACTGGGGTCTATACATGGCCGACCCTCCACGGATCTCGAGTCAGCGGCGTGATTTTAACCCAAATCCCGCACCTCAGAAATCAGCCGCCCGCTCACCCGCCACGCCGATGTTTGAGCCGGCGTAGCTAGTGGGGCCCCTCGAGGCGCCAAAGAGTGCCAAACAGCGGTCTATACATTGCTCACACTACTTCAGAATTGTCGTCAACTCGCCAAACGACACATCAGCAATACTTCAGATGCCAACAATAACTATGAAGCAGATAAGTAATTGTTGTCGCTTTTTTTCCAATTGTTCCTCTGACATTCCTGAAACTACTTCAAATCGAACGTTAACTTGCCCAGATTTTTATCTACTATACTTCTGATGCCAACAAATGAAGCAAACGAAATTTCTCTATCTATCTTTTCTGATTTCATATCAAATTATGTGTATTTTGGCAAAAAAAATCAGAAAGATCGCAATTGTTGTTGTAAATACTATTTGCACCGTATACATTTCAGTGGTGTAGCTCAGAGTTCTCTACAGTGTCATATTCGGGATGAAAAACCTGATTGAAAACTTTTAAACGATATGCAAATGCAAAGCGTGTGTGCAGGACCCTGAAACTGAAAGCACGATATTTATGTCGGTGTTACTGTTGGCACCTACCCAAACCCATCAAGCTGAATAAAAACACCTTCAGATTACAAGGATACTTTTTAAAACCGGCCAGTCACTCTGTAAGTGTGTGGGTCAACTCAACTTTTTGTGTCTTGCATATTGGTCTATGCACCTGCATACAAACGTTGTGTGTAGACGAGGTGTTACACACTTCTTATCATTGTTGCCAACACCACAGGTTAGTATGAATCTTCATTACATGTAATAGATTACGCCACCAACTCAAAGGAGTGCAAAAAAATTTTGCAAAAAAAAAACATAAGTTTTTTTTGCTACTGAAAACTTACAAAACTTCACCCAGAAGCACCGTTTTTGAGGTGAACTCGCCCAAAATCACATCAAATATATTTTCAGTAGCAATAAAAGTTATGGAGTAAACAAATTCGTTTTATCGATTTTTTCTGATTTTACATCTGGCATTGTAGATTTTCTATGTTTAAATTCAAGAAATTCTCATATGCTGTTGCAAATACTATTTGAATTGTATTTATCATAATTATGATACTCATCTTGTTTCTGGAGTGTATACCCGATGAAAACACCCAGTTGAAAGTTCACATATTACACGAGGACGCTACCTATATGTGCAGGACGACAATTTGCAAGTGTCACATGTGTTATCAATTCTCAAGTTCGATTCTGCATGACGAAATTATCACTATAAAAAAGTGCTACGATTCATTCTTCAGTCTTCTTGTCTGAGTACGACACGCTCGCGCGTCGACACTACCACCCACTATAGTTGATTGCCATTGGAACGATACGAAACATCAGCAATGTCGATTTTGGAGCTGATCGAAAATCTCGACAGGTTGGATGTTCGGGACTTGTGCGAGATTCTCGCCGACTCCAGACAATCTGAACCGTCGATTCATGAGGTTGAACCGTCGAATCATGAGACTGAACCCTTGACAACTGAACCCTTGAAGACCACACCACCGGCGCTGCCTTCAAAAAAAAGCAAAAGCCAGCCTCGTGAATCCGTCTCCAAACCGGTGGAACTCCCGGCCCTCAACTCTGACTCTGCCAACAAGAAAAAGGATGTATTCATCAACACGTCGTGGTTCGAGATCTCCAAATTCAAGCAGAACGCTAAAGGTGAACAAAGTCCGTACCAACGTGTTGGCTTACAAGCCAAAAAGGCCCCGTTGACACGCAAATACATACCCACGTATCGCTTGATTCGGTTGGTATTGGAGTACGCCATCACTCACAAGTTCAAGGCGTGCCATTTGGACATCGATCTCGCTGGTAATGACCTTGAGTTTGAAGATAAAAATGTCCGGTACGTCACCGATGACCCCGTGGCTAGGTTGCAAAACCCCCAGGCCAAAAATTTAGGCAAGCATTTGATTCCACAACCCATCCCGGGGATGAAGGGTGCCGAGAAACTCTTCCACGATGGCTTTACGCGGTTCCTCGTCAACCAATTGGGTTTTAAGGACTACAGTGGCGCTAGGGGCGTATGGGTTTACGCTCCGCAAGGGAAGACGACGGCCATCGTCATGATTGCCCATGATGACATTTTGATTTTCGGCAAAGATGACCAGATGCTTCGGTGGGTTGAGTCTGAATTCGCCAATAAGTACGTGGTAGTGAATTTAGGGTTGCCTGCCTTTTTCGCAGGCAATCAAATCTACTACAAATTGAACAAAGGACAGGTTACGATTGACCGCAGGCAACAGTGTTTCGACTTATGTAAAACCCACAACGTGAAACCCGATCCATTCGTTGATTCATTCTTTGACGATGACTTTGACTACGAATGGCGTTTGTTTGGATCAAAGCAGAAATTGAGTCGTGCCGAAAGAGGCGAGAAAGTGGCTCGTTTCCAGCGCATAATTGCCGATTTGATGGCGATCTCAAAGTCGTTCTACAGAGATATCACCAACATGGTGGCTAAGCTCGCCAGTCTCGAGCTGAATGTCAACGACTTCCTCCTTGAAGCAGCCGAAAGAGCGGTAAATTTTGTAAGCAACTTTTGCGATGGAGAATTGACACTTGGTAAGCATCCTGCGAATAACTCCGTTGCGGACGTGGGGTACGTCCTTCTTCATGACGAGGACGAAAGACATAGGGCTGTTGTCACCTACTCCATCGATCGTAACGGTCAACTTGATTTTTGGGCGAAGGTAGTGAACAATTGTGACGTTTACCTGGATGAACTTGCGGAGCAGATGCAACGTGAGGTTGATGAAGACTATAAGTATTTCACTATGCTCGACCATTTTGTGAGTACGGGCCAGATTCTCGACCCACCTCCCAAAGTATCGGTTCCCCGCCTGCGCTATGAGCATGCTGAAGCCAAGATAAACGATTTGCCCATGTGTAACTGTTTATCAGCTGGGTCTACGCGCTAGTCCTCTCAATAACGAATGGAAGAATTCGATTATTCTATGCCGCCGAGCCTTGTATATTAGACACCGAATTGAATATGAATGTGTACCTCCGATTGACCTTACCTCTTAAAGAGTTTCTTCCTTTGTAACACTCCCAAACATAATAGCATTGTAACATTCGCTGTTGGATATTAATAGGGTTATTTGAATGGCTAATACAAAGCGACAAGTATCGTGCTCAGTTCATGCCCGGAACATGATGTGGGTGAGAGCAATCATGGTGTTGGCCAAGATGCCGGCAACAATCGACCATTGCTGGCGCTTGCTGAACACTGTCAGGTCCGATAACAACCATACCACCGCCACTGCCCCCAAGAAGAGCCCCAAGAGCATGCCAAACACAAGGTCCCATTCTTCGTAGTCCTCAAGATCAGCGGCGGGTCTCGCGTTGGCCCCATCGGCAACAGCTCCGGGTCCAGCCGGGCGCGCCAGCGACGTGCCGTCCGCTGAGGGGTACATCATTGTTTGTTCGATCCACTGTTCCTCCATCTCCCGCAACCGTCGTTGGCGCTGTTCTTCATCCTCCACGTCAGCAATCTGGCCCTGGCCGCTCAGCGGCTGGTCCTGGGCGTGGATGGCAAGGAACTGGCGACGGAGGTCGCGAACGTCTTCTTCCAGAAACCCCTGGTTGAGTAACCGATCAAACCCAATCTGTTGCGGGGTAGTCGAGGTCACGGGAGTAGCATTATCAAGCAGAGACTCCTCTTCAAGCTGCTGGCGCGTCAAGTGGTCGCCGACGACACAGTGGATGAACACCACCAAATCCTCGCCCGATTGCGCTGAAAGCTGGTTGAACACGTCCCGCTTGTAGTTGGTTTCGACGTTAAGCACCCGTCCATTGTATATAAGCCGTAACCGGCGGTCGTTAGTCTGGGGCACCTTCAGCCGGATCTGCGCCTTGATCCAGCTGGTGGACACGAGTCTGTTGATGTCGTCCTGGCTCGGGTTATACAGGAACGGCAAGTCAAGATCAGGTAAGGCTGCGTCCAGCGCCACCGAGTTGGTAAACCGGACCCGGATGATCACTTTCATGGTGTGTGCGCGGGTGAGGGCAACAGTGAGAATCGCCTTTGGTGACTAGGGGCGTGGTGAGCACACCCTGGCAGACCAAGGCAAAAATTGTTGGCTACAAAAACATTGACTTGAACATCATGCTGAAATATAGATATATATAGTAAAACATGTTGCAGTAGGAGGTGTCGTCGTTTGCGTCGTGGTTGTTCTTCGAAATCTGCGGTTGCCGCGGGTCACCAGAAGTTTCCGTGATAAGAATCTCACTCGCCCAGACCGAGCGCATTAGCCACCACCTCCTAAACGGTCACCAAGTATCCCATTAATACACTGTATGAAGGGCGGTATCAGCTGCAAACACCTCTGCCACTCATCCGGTGACCTCTTTCTCTTTTGACGTAAGCGGCAGCAGCACCGGCGGGGCGGTGCCTGCATTTTGCCACCACCCAGCCTCGACCACAGCAACCGACAACTAGCGCCTCCCACTCACCATCTCCCACACCAAAGAATGGCTTCACGTCCTACCAAGCTCGACACCGAGATCAACGACGTGAAAGCGTCGGTGCAGGCGACGGGCGACGACCCCAAAGCGCTTACCCAGGCCCTCGGCGACGTCAAGGCGACGGTGGGGGCGACCGACAACGTCGACTTGGACGACACTAATGCCCGTTACTCGGCGTATTTCGCTCGTATCCGGACAATCATGAGAGCCTCTCATCGCTACATTGCCTACCTGAGTGATGTCGGCGAGTCGTTCCGTCCCGTGGCCCACCCCGGGTTGATTAAGGCAGCGTACGCGTTGTCGTTCGGTTACGTGGGGGCGTCCGTCGGGTACACGTCGTGGAAGGTGTACATGCAAGACCAGGGTCGCTACCGGCCCGGGCTCAAGCCCTGGGACACGCCACCTCCTCCCGACGCGGTGGCGGCATCGTTGTTCAGACACAACAATCCGAAGAAGTGGCAGCACGACTGGCGAGTGGTAGCAGTCAAGGACGGTATTTTCCAATTGGTGGCGCTGATGGCGCTCCCGGCGTTCACCATCCACTCCACTGTGCGCTACTCGCTGGTATTGTTTAAGAATACTAAGAACCCCCAGATCAAGACGTGGGGGCCCGTGGCGTGTGGTCTCGCCGTGGTGCCGGCGTTGCCCTACCTCTTTGACGAGCCCGTGGAACACCTTATTGACGGGGTCTTCGACCAATTAGAGAAGTTTTACTAGCACCAGTACGATATTTAAATAGCACTAATGCTCACGAAATTACGTCAAATTTGCAGAAATGGGTGCAAAGTGCGTTTGACACATTTTGGTGCACCAAAATGACACAATCACACATTATACAAAATAAACGAGATATAGATTCCCAATTTTCATCTTGAGTTGTACGTATACATGCTATTCCACATTCGATGGCGATGTAAGGGTTCAAACACCGAACCCACACATGAATACAGAAACACACATTTTGATGAAATGTATATCTACAATTGAAACCAATTGTTTTGCCAATTGTCATATCGGCTGCATTTGATTAATTATCTATCTTCTTCCTCGATTTAACCCCTTTCCTTTTTGTAGTCATTTTTCACATTGCATCATCTGAGACTCTACCATTAGCAAATCCATTAATGAAGTTTGCCTAATCGTCCTGAGGCCGGCTGTAGTTGTAGGTGCCACATTTGCCACAGGTACGAGCATCGTCGTCGCCGTCAAACGCCAAGATCGCGTCCTTCACCTGAGTGCCTAAGTCACTGCAATAGAACTCCTTTTCGTGGATCACCTCTTGGCAGTTACGACAGTACCACCGGATACGATCGTTGACCCCCTCCGGACGATCCTGCTCCACCACCAACCCCACAGTATCGGCAAATCTCACCGGATTATGGGGAGTATTGCCAGGAAGCAAAAACGAGTCGCCTTCGTTGATAATGATGTCACGGAACTTACCGTCATCAACCACCTTGAGACACATTGACCCCTTAAGCTGGTGGAAGTACTCGGGAGTCTGATTGATGTGGTAATCGGTGCGGGCGTTGGGTCCACCGACAATCATCACCGTCGACCCCCCTCGGTGAAGACAGTAGTTGTTGACGGGAGGCTGGAGAAGGTGCTTGTTCTCCTCCACCCATTGCTTGAGGTTGATGGGGTCAGGAAGCATTGGTGGGGTTGACTTGAGTGTAAATAGCGGGGGTCGTAAATTTATTGGGGCCACACACGTGAACGTTGCGACCGCAGATGCAATAGCGAGCGAGTGAAAAAAATGAGCTGATCGATGATTTGACTCATCGTAACTTCCCAGACAGGACTCGAACCTGCAATCTTCTGATTCGTAGTCAGACGCTTTGCCATTAAGCCACTAGGAACACTCGAAATTTTCTGACTTGCGCTGTATGGTAACATCCACGCCGTGTGTCGATTTTTCGGTCTGTCGTTTCCTAACCGTGGATCTAGAGGGTCGAGAGAGAAGGGGCATGATGCGTATGCGTGAAAATAGCAAAGTCCGTGCTTTGATGAGCCAGAAGACCTCAAAGAACAAAGATTGACTCCCGCGAATTGCGGGTTACTTACTCTCAAAATCTCTTCTTATTCCGTTTGAATCAAAGCAAATAATCATCATAATAGATGATAATTCAATAGGAGGGTAAGATTGTGAATTCAAGTTCGTAGCTGTCAACAGTTCTTACCCTTGTGATGCCATCAGTGGTGAATTTCGGATCGAGAACAACGAGATCTAAATACTGAAACCAACGCTTCTAACCAAATAAGCTCGAATACAATTGACAACTATCGTTCAATTCATCATTAGTTCGATGGATCAATCATGAAAGACATTCAGAACCTTGAAATTTCAATCGGTCAATCCGTAAAACCTTTTAAATTTTGATTATTCTTCATCAAATAGGATTGTGTCACCCCAACATGTTTCGGTCGAGATCAACAATTGATGAGGGCTGGACCACGCCACGGTTTTTATGAGCGGTACACGCTCATTCGACGCGTGGGATGTTGATAACTGCGGCTGTCGCCAGCCCGGCAATTCTCGGGACAGAGTGGTGCGGATCGGCGGGATTACCATTACTGTACGAAAAATTGGGGTACGTATAAATAGTTACCCATTCGCGCCTCGGCACTTCTTTCCAACCACACACATCTAGCCACTATGCCCAAGCTTGTCTTGTTACGTCACGGTCAATCGGAATGGAACGCCACCAACCAATTCACTGGTTGGGTCGACGTCTCGTTGACTGAACAAGGCCAACAGGAAGCCAAGAGAGCCGGGGAATTGATCAAGGAGGCCGACCTCAAGTTCGACGTCGTCCACACCTCGTTGTTGACCCGTGCCATCCAGACCACCAACATTGCCCTCCACGAAGCCGGCCAATCGTGGTTGCCCGTCAAGCGCTCGTGGAGACTCAACGAACGTCACTACGGTGACTTGCAAGGTAGAGACAAGTCGCAAGCGATGAAGGAATACGGTCCCGAAAAGTTCCAAACCTACAGACGCTCGTTCGACGTGCCTCCTCCCCCCATCACCCCTGACAACAAGTACTCGCAACACGGCGAAAGAAGATACGCCCACTTGGACCCCGAGATCATCCCTCAAACCGAGTCGTTGAAGATCGTCATCGACAGATTGTTGCCCTACTGGCAAGACGACATTGCCGCCGACTTGTTGGCCGGCAAGACCGTGTTGATCGGTGCCCACGGTAACTCGTTGAGAGCGTTGGTCAAGAAGTTGGACAACATCTCCGACGCCGACATCGCCGGGTTGAACATCCCCACCGGTATCCCCTTGGTGTACGAATTGGACGACAACTTGAAGCCCACCAAGCCCGCCTACTACTTGGACCCTGAAGCCGCCGAAGCCGGGGCCAAGGCCGTTGCCGCCCAAGGCTCGAAGTAAGTCTATAACTAAATGAGACATGACATATTATTCTATATATAGGTTTAGAAGGGGATCGATTGGTGCAAGAAGGGCTTGTCACCGCCACCACCAACAAATTCACCAACAATGTGGCCGTTACCCCGTAACTGGTACTGGTAACTCATCAACCCTTCGAGACCCACGGGGCCACGAGCGTGGATCTTATTAGTCAGAATCCCCACCTCAGTACCGAAACCGTAGCGGAAACCATCAGCAAATCTGGTTGAGGCGTTCCAGTAGACACCGGAAGAGTCAATGCCCTTCATGAACTTTTGAGCGCGGGCTTCATTTTCAGTGATGATGGCTTCAGTGTGTTTGGACGAGTGAGCGTTGATGTGGTTAATGGCAGTGTCGACATCGTCAATCAAGTCGACGGAGATATCGAACGAAAGCCATTCCTTGTCGAAAGCATCGGCTTCAGCGTCTTTAACGTATTGCTGGTCTAACAGTTCGGTGTAGGGCTTCACGGCCGGGGTGACGTGTAACGTCACCTTAGCGTCCACCAACAGTTGGAGGAGGTTAGTGATGGCTTGCCTGTCGATGTTCTTGTTGATAAGCAATTGTTCCACGGCATTGCAGCCAGCGGGGTAGTTAGTCTTAGCGTCAACGACGATCCGCAGCGCTTTAGTAGGGTCGAATTCATCATCAACGTAGATAGAACAAATACCATCGGCATGACCCAACACGGGGATCTTGGTGTTTTCCTTAATATTGCGGACCAATTCGTTAGAACCACGAGGAATGACAAGGTCAATGTACTTGTCTTGATTAAGTAAGTCAGCGACATCTTCTCTCGATTGGATAAGTTGAATGGCAGCAGCGGGCACGTCAGTCTTTTTATCGAGGGTCAGCGACACCACTTCACTCATAGCTTTGAAGGTTTGGTACGATTCCTTACCACCTTTGAGGATAGCAGCGTTACCCAGCTTCACGGCAAGAGCAGTGATGTTGGCAATGACTTCAGGGCGGGCTTCAAAGATAATGAGCAAGACACCAATGGGAGCAGTAAGACGGTACAATTCAAGGCCGTCGTCCAACTTGGAGGCGAACGTCACTTTGCCCACAGGGTCCGGCAAATTCTTCACGTCCAAGATCCCTTGGAGCATGGCATCAAACTTACCCGGGTTGTTCAAATCAAGTCTCTTGATCAACAGCGGCGATAACTGTTGCGATTTGGCGTTATCCATATCGATCTTGTTAGCGGCGAGGATATCGCTTTTGGCCAGGGCAAGCGCATCGTGGATCTGTTGCAATGCGTCCGATCTCTGGTCGTTAGACAACGTCTTAAGCACCCCGAACGCCTGGTTGGCGTCGCGGGCGATGGTCTCGGCACTGGACATGGTGGCTATTTGTGTGGAGAACGATTGGAAGTGCGGGTTGACGATTTCGCTAGCCGCGGTGTGAGCACCGCTGACTCATGACTCACTAATGAAAATGAGAGAAGAAAGAGAACTCAAATTTACAAGGAAATGGCATATAACGAGGTGGTGAATTCGATACTGTCATCGAAGACGAGAAAATTTTGTGTTCTTGAAGGTAATGACGATGGTGGCACGAACCTAGATTGGGTGTGGTTTTGTGTCAGATCGATTTGTAAAAGTGAAAAATCCATGTTGAAAAATTCACTGATGAGGTCATGATCAATGTAAAATTGAGATATGAAAGTACTGCCATGTTGAGTCCACCTAGTGGAATATACCTATGCCCTCTAAGGCCTGTAATGAATGGTTTGTGACGAGTATTTGACAATATTTCCACAATTCAAGGAAGACACCCGAAATTATCCCGCCATCGAGCGGTCCCTTGGCCCAGTTGGTTAAGGCGTGGTGCTAATAACGCCAAGATCAGCGGTTCGATCCCGCTAGGGACCATCGTTCTTTTTCCCCCATGAATTCCAATAATTTTTACGTGTTGTATTAATCATTATATCGTCAAGTATCGGCTGATTTGATTGCCTTTTCGACAAACTTCACAATCGCCTCCAAGTACTGAGTCTTGTTGGTGCAGCGAGGGATTTCCGATGCATACTTCTGCTGGAATGCACGTAACTGCGGCACCGTAAATTGGGCTAACGAGCCGTCACCATAAGCCAAGACAATCTCATCATCAGTAGGTGCAAGCGAGATATCAGGAGATTTTCTTGTAGACAGCTTGGCTCGTTTATCACCAGCACCGCCATCACTTCGAGCCCGTTTAGTTTTAGTAGCCGCCGCCGCCGCCGCTTCCTCTTGAAGCGCCAACCGTCCCAATTGAGACAGCACCTCTTCGAGTTGTTCAACAAGCTCAGGGTTCATGCTGAGGGCTTTTCTCACCAGGGCCACTTGTCTGGTAGTGGAGTCATTTTTCATCAAGTCCTTGGGATCTTCAAGCTCCATCAGTTCGCCTGACTCTTGCATTAATAAGATCTTATACCACCACTCAAGACTAGGATTACTGTGGCTTTCAGGAGTATACGTCATCGCAAGGTCATCAATCAATTGTCTGAACACTTCAACGTGTTCATCCTGAGCTTCAGTGGACATTTCCTCGAATCCGCTAGGTAACAGTCTGATATCGTCAAGCCAGGGGAGACGGTAAAGGAAAAACCCTTCGGCAAAGTCCCACTTATCAGTGATTAAAGGCTTTTTGGCATGTTGCACTCGACTAGGGTACATAACATAGAGCGCAGGCCGTGACCCTTTTCGAACGGGTCCAAAGACGACAGCATACTTCTTAAGCTTCACACACAGTTGGTATAATGCCAGGAATGTCGTGAATGAGTTGGTGAACCCACCCCGGTCCCGACCTTCGAGGAAATCCACTGTGACGAAACTGCCTTTACCAAATGAGTACCATGGCTTATAAGTATCAAGGTCACGGAACCCAATCAACTTGAGGTAAGGCGAGTGCGAAAGACTGAGTTTGTCTCCATCATTACCTCCCACCACCTCCCAATCTTCTTCATCATCAAGTTCATCGTCTTCATCGCTGTCCGAGTAATCAGTACCCGACCCATCATTATCATTTTTGGCTTTAGTTTTGGTGATGGTAGGATCGTGATCAAAGTCAGTGCTGTTGATGAACCTCCAGGTATCGGGAGTCAAACACATGACGTCACCGCCGGTCAATTCCACTCCTCGATAAATATGATTCTCCTCTTTGACATCAGGAAGCGGGGCTTTGCCTTCACTTTCATCAGTGAGCTTAATAGGTTCACCCAGGACCGGATCAATGATATTCTGTTCGGTGTGCACTTCTTGTTTTGAACTGGCTTGACTGTACACATACGTATCTCGCCTCAGGTAGTGGTCTTCCAGAACAAGAGCGAAACCTCGGACCAGTACCCCGAATGAACCAGCGACGTCTTTACCGTCAGAAAGAATCAATGGACAAGCGAATTGTTGACGCTTTACTTGCTTCAATTTGAGGATTAACAGGCGAATATCTTTGGAGAATGTTGACCCTTTAGCTAAAGCTGCTTTCGCCGACCCTCGCCATACTGTCAGTTCCTCCTGTTTCGGTTGAGGCTGGCCACTATTATCATCCCGGAGATTTCCCAGTTTATCAAGCACCCCTGTGTTCAAAAATAAATCGTTAAACTGCTTATTATTAAACTTACCATTGGCATGGGCAAGCATTACCGGACGCACATCAATCCTAAGATCAAAGAAGTCCTGGATTTTGCGTCGTAATACCTTTTCATCGGCTTCAGTGGCACAGGGAAATTCATTAGTGGTGAGCCATACCAATTTAGCGCGATTAAACCCCCCACCACCAAACCGTCGTTGAAACACCTCCATCACGTTTTCCATCACTGAAATTACATCTGATGGTTCCCCCTTAACCGGAGTAAACACCTGGTTCAACTTTTGTTCGCCAGTCTGATGGCGTCTAAGCAATTTGGCAAGCTTGACGCGGTTAGTGATATTAACATAAGTTAATGGGAATAACGCGTAGAAATTAGGTAACGGGTGGCTTTTAGGGACAGGTAAGAATCGGCTATCATCATCATTGACAAGACTGTGGTAAAAGTACACGCCAAACCCCGTGTTTCTTTCGGTTTTGATCATAGTCTCCATGAGGGAAAGGATGGCGGCTAGCACCTCCAGCAACTGGCAGTCGCCTCCGAGAGTAGCATTAGGCGCGAGTATCTCCGGGGTGATCTCAATGAGAAAGATCAATCCCTCGCGGATCTCGTAGATCTCTCGTAGCGGGTCACTCATGGTAAGTAACTGAGGTAGCTATAGGTGCGCGCCGCACCCTTACTACTACTGTAAAGGCTATGGTGTATTAGACCATAATAAGCAAAACTACCATAATTGAAAGATTCTGAATAAAAAAAATTTGATCTTAGATAAACCAAACTAAATATAACCACATTTTAGCGATTGAATTAAAATTTTACTAGTATTTGCCTCAACCGATGGAAAGGCCTATCTCCTGATCTCGGGTGAGTATTTCGCGGTCGCACTGATTTCGTACTCCAACCGGACCCCATGTCGATAAACTTCATCCTTGTGCTCAACCGCCAGGGGAAGACCCGGCTTGTCAAATGGTTCAACAACAACTATACTGCGGGGGAAAAGCTGCGGATGATCCTGGAGATCCACCGGCTCGTGGGGCTGCGAGATAGTAAGCCCCAGCTGAATTTCGTCGAGTACCAGCAGAATAAGCTTGTTTACCGACGCTACGCCGGCCTCTATTTCATCTCGGCGATTGGCCCTTACGATAACGAGCTCAGCTACCTTGAACTGCTCCATTTCTTCGTTGAGATTCTCGATACATACTTTGATAACGTATGTGAGCTTGACCTTGTGCTCAACTTCTATAAGCTCTACGTGGTGCTTGACGAGATCTATCTTGGCGGCGAGATCCACCAGATATCCAAGCTGCGGGTGTTGGACAGACTCACCGAACTTGAGGCCCTAGCGTGAGCCCTAGCATGAAGCAATGACAATAAACGATAATGACGAGGCATTGCCGAAATGGCAATTGTAGGTGATAGTGAGCTATTGGAGAGCGAAGCGCAGGATAGGGGCATCAGTGGGTTTGTCAGCTCCGTTAGTAGTGACTTTATTCCAAATGGCATCAGTCACTTCGTCAATTGATTTATGGTTAACGTCAATCACTTCCACCACGCCATTATCGATTATGGAGTTAGCACTGAATAATTGATCAAAGTTCTCCTTAACTTTAGCTTGGAACGGTGCCTTTTCATAACGCTCATCGCCCCATCCTTTACGGTTAGCTTGTTCCTCCAAGTCCAAAGTGAGGAACAACGTTATATCCGGTTTGGGAAGCCCCCGATCAGGAGCGTAGAGCCATTGCAGGTTCAGAATTCTCGGGGTAGTCCTCTTAGCTAATGAGTAAGCAATGCCCAGATAAATGTAACGGTCCATAATGATGTGTTTTCCCTTCAAAAGTTTGTCTTCCAATTGAGCAACCACTTCCCACCGGTTAGCCAGAAACAAGAGGTGGACGGTTTCATCAGGTAAATTGAAACTAGCATCAGTGAGGTACCGATCGAGGAGCTGTCCCACCGGTGTCAGCCGATCAGGAAATTTGATAATGTCACCTTGAAGTCGCTGGCTAAGCCGCTCACACTGGGTCAGCTTACCCGCCCGATCCAATCCCTCAATTAAAATGAGGCTCCCTCGCATCGCTCACGGCTAAGGATCTCCTTCAGCAACGATCTCTCTTTCCCTGTTAGGGTCGCGTCGCGCGGGTCAACAAAAAAAATGTCGCGTGGCTGCGTTCGGCCGAAAACGCGCTTACGACCGCTACCGATCAAAGCTACGGAAAGTACTACGGGAATAAACCTCAATGCGACGGAGCTGGTACGAAAAGCAATTGATCCAAACCAAAAAAATGAAATCGAACCAATCAGACAAGCATTGTCGTTTACAACTTACGAACAGGGTTAGGCATTGCATTGATGTTTCGAACCCACCACGTTTGTAGCACTTACTTGCTTCGTTGCTGTTCGTAAGTTGGCGGTTGCCAACTGGTGGCACGAAGTCGGCACGGGCGTCGGCGGCTCGCTGTCAAATGCGATTTTTCACCTCTGTGCTACAAATCTCAATACCCAGTAAACATTCCCGAGGCAAGAAAAGGCGCCGAGCCTGGGGCCTCACGAGATCTCGAAGCAACCCGGTCAATCTCTTTCAGTCCGATGCCCTCAGCTGCCATCGGCGATTTCTCCCCAGTCGCATCGCTGAGGCCATCAATACTGCAACACCGTCTCCCGTCGAGACCTCGGTGGCGAGTGAGACACAGGCGCGGCGGCAGTCGTGGCGGCGACGGCAGCTCTAGACCTTTTTCCCTATTCTCTACCCCCCACACGCCCGGGGACAGCACTGCCCATCGTCCGCACTTTAATCGCGCGGGGGGTCCCTTCAGGGTTCGGTTCGCGGAACCCCCGGGGCACCGAGGCCGAGAGCGACAAGGGATGAGCGTGCTCCAACCGAGTATAGCAACGTGAAACTCAATAATCTTAGGAGTAGGCCTTTTGTAGACCAGTATACACTGTAGACAGTTAGTTACCTTTTCTATATTTAGCTTGTTATCGGCCCACTCTCCTTCGTTGGTGTCGGCGCCAATCTTCCACCTGTCACGCAGAGTTCCTGCGCGTGCCTTCTGACTAAGCCATTAGCACGTCGCTTGATTTGCTCTGAAAATTCTGATCAAAACAACCATGGCCATGAACGTGTTGGCGGGTAAGTGAAACCACCAGGCGACGAAGAAACATTCCCATTTATTGATGAAATAAGACGACTAACCTCCAAGTGGGCACCAACGCCAATGTCGTGTTCTACGCGTGGAGGATGCACCCGCTGATGGCGGTGCTGGTGTGCCATCCTCACCTCCACCAGGGACCCATCAGCGTCCACCTGAACGTCGCCGGCACCGACAAGTTTGCTCCCCAGGCGGTCTACTCCGATTTGGCCCAGGTGCCTCGCGGCGCCCAGTTCGACGTCGTGGTGTTGGCGGCGCTGTCGTTACAGGACTTCCAGGGTAAGTGCGAGCAGTTGGCGCCGTTGGTGAAGGACGATCTGCTCGTGATTATCGAACTGACAGGGTACATCAATTTGGAGCCGTTTGTCCAATTATCATTACCAAAAACCAAGAGAGTTACGGTGCTTTCCATCATGAACGAGGCCGATGTCCGTAACGTCGGGCCCAACGAGTATACTCACACTCACCGCAATTCCGACCCTCGTGTGTACTTGGGTTCCACTCAACAACAGCCGAGAGCGGCTCAGATTAAAGAACTGGCGCCGTTTTTACTGGTGTGCCGCGTATTCTCCGAGACTCCCAAGACCGCTTTTTTGACTCTGTTCCAACCGAAGGAGTTTATGACCTACCAGTGGAAATTGGCGTTGCCGAGAATCGTATTCAATCCTCTCCTGGTGATCTTTGAAGTGCCGTTCCCGTCGGAGTTATCGCAACAGATCTTGTGTAAACCGTTAATTCTGGGGATCATCAACGAATTGTTCAAGATCATTAAGAAGATGGAGTGTAAGCTCGTGAAAGGGTTTGAAAACGAAGCCAATTTACTCAAATCGTGGCTGGCGGCGTTCCCCGTCACCAAGGATAACGCCGACTTCCGCAACTCCCCGAACCTCTTCTACAACTTCTACCACCAACAACAATTGGAGCTCGACTTGTTATTGCTCCAGCCGATTCTTTTAGCTGACGACCACGGCATCAAGCTGCCCTACCTCGAAAACATGTACCTGACGTTGTGCCAGTACGACAAGATTAACGACGGCGAGCTGATTCTCTTTGACCGTAAGGGGTTGGGTGGCCAGTCCAACCATGCCAAGCTGGCGGGACACGCCCAATTGGACGGCGACATCGCCCTGCGCCAGGACGAATTGGCCCAATTGGAGCGCCAGTTACAGGAAAAGCGCCAGACCCACCAGCGCATGAGCCACGAAGTGTCGGGGTTGTCGCGTAAACTCACTGAATTAGAGCTGGCAGTGGCCCGCAAGACTGCGGAAGCGCTGTCGTCGTCGTCGCCGCCCCAGGCCCCCGCCGACGACCTCAGAGGACTCGCCATCCACGACGACCCGGACAAGCTGAGCCACTTGTTGGAGAAGGAAATGGAGCTCCAGCGCCGCGAACAGGAACTCATCAACCGCGAACAGATGTTTGCCGCGTCGCTGCCGTCGCAGTCGTCGCCGTCGCAGATGGCCCCCGGCCAGTTCGACCCGTACCGCCCGCAAATGATGTCGTCGCCGCCGTCAAAGCAAAACTTGTTTGCTGACGGCTACGGGCGCAACGGCCCGCCGCCGATGAACGGCGGTGGCGTCCAGGGCCCCCCTCAACTCTTCGACCCTAACCGCGGGATGGTGCGCAGTCCCAGTGGTAACCTCATCCAACAGGCGCCTCCCGGGGCTCGCCGGGTGCCCCTGTTACCTCAGATGAACGTTGGCGGTCTCGGTGACCCGAACATGTTCCAGGCCCGGGTGCCGGCGCTGCAGATCGGCGAGCTGACCAACCACCCGCTGTTCAACAACGCTGCCCCCATCGACCCGTTATTGGAGCTGCGGTTTAAGCAGAACCCGAAGAAGACCAACCGCCGCTCCGCCCACCCGCAAATGACGGGTAACTTGGACGGTTTCGACGTCGGTGGCCGCGGCGGTATGCCGATGCCCGGTAAGTACCGGGCGCTGGTGGGTCCCGGTGGCCCCGGCCAATTTAACCGCCCGCAACAATACGGCCACATGAGCGTCACCAATAACCCCAATGTCACCAACATCATGGCGGGGCGTCCGTCGCCCCAGTTGGCGTCGCCGCCACAACAGCAAACCCCGCAATTCCAGCCGCCGCTGGCACCCCACCACGACGTGCGCAACGACTCTAACGGGTCGTTGCCGCTGTCAGCGTCCTACGGGCTGCCGGTGCTGGAATTGGGCGACGCCCCCGCTCCTCCTCCGGCCCCCGTCGAGGACCTGGCACCCAACCACTCATTCTCTGACGTTGACGCCCGCCCGTTGGGGCTGGGCCTTGGCGCCGGCGCCGACGAACCGGATAAAAAGAAGAAGAAAAAGAAGGGTTTCTTCGGCAAGAAAAAGAAGTGATGTCAGGGATGTAAAACAAAACCACTTATCTGTAATAGATATTAATTTAGAAAAGCTTTTGACGTGTCGCCACTGATCAATCGTAGAGAGTGTTCGAGTGGTCATTCCAGTAGAATGGTACAGGTTGTATTAACTCATCATTCGTTATCTATCGATATTCATGGTGAGCAATGATTGCGAAACGAACACAGTCACGATAATTTGAAATCACTAACTGATAGATGTTCTGTAGTCCTTAGACGATTCTGAGAATTTAAATCAAACTGTATCTATGGTGGTCTGAAAATATGGTAGACCACTACGACTTAGCAATCAGACCAATTGAACCGCAATTTAGTTTGATTCGGACTACATTTGCCGAGGCTTCCGGAGACATTCCAGAGATATTGATTCGAGGCTATGATACACCCTCGTTACAATCCAAACCCACGTATTATGTAGAAGGATCCAAATCTCGTAGCTTTCTCTCATGTAATATTTGTTCTTAAGGTGTTCACACGTAGCAATGTAGGCTGAGTGTCATTTCGCAATGCGAAAGAAACAAATGACAATAACTCAAAAATTTACTATGACAACACCATATGGTCGCCTAACAAATGTTACTCGCACGATAATTCTGAACGTCTATGTTCAATATGGTACCATGGGTGTCGTTTTGGTTTTCAAGTTTCTCGAAAATCCAGTGGTCCTTGGGTTAGACATTCAACTAAACTGTAAACAAACAAAAAATCTCAGCTGCAAGTATTAGTCTGACAACCAACCAAAATGTCTTACCTTCCCATTCGAGTAAACCAAGTTATGTATGGTTGTTGGTCTAAATGTGCGACCAAAAGTGGCTCCTAGTAAACCTTATATAAATAAAATTTGAATCTGGATGGTTTTTAAAAAACACCTATTTTTCTCTGTTGCAGTTTTACAACGTCAATCGGACATGTCACGACTATTCTCACTATATGCAGGATTTATATCTGTAAGGTGACCTGTACTCGTCAGGTGGAGAAGCACAAACTCGTCAGGGCAAATCGATCTCGCCAAGTCTACAATGTTATTACCCCGCGTAAAGGTTTATAACTTTACAGAATGGTTTGAAAATCCATGGTTTTCACCCTTCACGGATTTCTCCGTAGTTGTACAACCGCGTCCTCGCTTATAATTTAACGATTCAGAAATATGCCACTTTTAATCTGTATCGATAAAGCGGACAAAGACGTCTTCACTCACTGAAATATTCCAGCATGACTTTCAGCTTCAGGCTTAGCGCCACTAGTGTGAAGCAATGGTGATAAAGGCGTAACACCTCGTCTAAGGAGAGTAATTGTATGCATGGGCAACATTGTAGATGTGACCACGAAATGCCAAAGTGACTCGCCTATTCCGCTTAATACCACTGTAATTTCTGTCCGTGTCTATTTATTTTGAGAAGTTTTTTTTTTGCAATGAACACTGACATCGTCAGACATGGTGTTGGAAAACTTTAGATCCTGCATATAAGAGTAATCACTACATGGAATGTGTGTTAGCCAACCAAGCTTTACACGACGTCAATGGCACTCTAGACGAAGTCAAACAACATCGCCATGATGTATGCAATTCAAAGAGTATTTGTGACAGCAACCGGGAATGTTTTAGAATTTCCATTGAAAAATAAAAATTGTGATATAAAATCAGGAAAAATCGATAGAATCAATCCGTTTGCTCCATAAATTTCTTTGGCACTGGAAGTATAGTTAATGTGAATTTGGGCAAGTTGGCTTCAATATTGGTATCTCTATGTGAGTTTAACGGTGGAAAAAAAAACTTTTTTTTGTTTTAGCAATTTTTTTTACGGACGACTTTGAGTTTGTGGCATAGTTTATTACATCTGGGGAGCATTAAGATTGACCTGTGACGTTTGTAGCATTGCTGAGAATGGCGTAACACCTCCTCTACGTTTGGTGTTTGTATGCAGGTGCATGTCAAATATGCAAGACTCAACAGGTTAAGTTATAACACACACTTGCAGAGGGACCAGTCCAATTTAAAAGATATCGTTGTAATCTGGAAGCATTTATATCTAGTTTGAAGGGTTTACGTATGTGCTGCCAAGGTTGTTGACATATATGTCACACTTTCAAATTTGGGATTCTGCACACAAGCATTGCATGTGCATATAATTTATGATTCTTCAGATAGCTCTTTCATCACCTATAGTAAACCTAAGAAAGAAACGAGTTGCACTGCTGTCATGTATACGATGCAAATACCATTTATAATAGTAAATGGGATTTCTTTCATTTTTTTGGTGAAATCTATAAAGTGTCTTATAAAATCAGGGAAAATTGCTACAGACTTCCCGTTTGCTTCATAAAATTCTTTGGCGCCAGAAGTATGGCAGATAAATCTCTGGGCAAGTTAACGTTCAATTTGAAGTAGTTTCGACTATGGCACCCTACTTGCCTTCCCTGCAGAATCGACCGTTATATGCAGTACTCACGATAAGCTCGGCATTACTAACTGTAAATCATGAGTAGATCATAAATGTTATCACTGCTGAAACTGTAATACGCTATAATACTGGCTGCAAAACTTTTATGGACTCTACTGAGAGAGTGACATACTTATGACGCTATTGTGTTCGTTCCCATATATCCTGCATATAATAAAGATATTCTCAGGTCGAGCTTCTGCCATCAACAGAACAAATTAAGTGAGCTATGAATCCAAATTTACATATAATTGAGCTGAGCTGTGCCAATTGAGCACAGCTCAATTATATGTAAAATAGCAACTGCAAGATGTTTCGGAGAAATAAAAAATCTAGAAAAAAAACTTGAAAAAAAGATTTGAAATAATTTTTGACGAGCGGCGCAGTGTATTATATGCAGGAATTGATGATAATCTACGAGTGGCGTACCACGGTATATGTAGGATATAATTGAGTGAGTTGTAACAGGCCAAGCTCAGAAGTAGAATCAATTGTTTTACCACTATCATTCTTATTTAACTGAAAAATTATCAAACGTAGCGCTCCCATGAATTCAATTTGGATGCTGAGTTACATATATCGCTTACGAATAGGTTTTGTAATTGCGAGTATATTGTACAGGCATCCAAATTGTCTTTTGAACTTTTGTTCGGGCAAATACCATCTTCGTTGGGCTGATTGTTCTAAGATTATGTACGGCATTATGTTCAGAACCACATACCGCGGCGAGTATAAAAGGGCAGTTCGTCGTTCGAATCTATTATCTTCACCTTGTGTAGACTTTACTCTGAGCTGAAACTTTCTCAAGTCTGCCAACTACTTGGGTCGTGACCAACAGGTATGGTACCTAGTAATGATTGACGCTTTTACCAACGCTTCAAGCTTGCCCTCATGGGCCGGCAGCCGGTGTTGACTCTATTATTTGCTGCTCGCTGCTTGCTGCTTTACTGATGTTGACAATGGCCGGCTCCAGCCATGAAAAACTTCGGAAGCTTGGCGGCTGGGGTTACGGCTTGCTGGAATTGACTCATAAACTGTCACGCTCCATCCAGTAGCACTTCATGACCATCCCGTAGAAAGGGGTGATAGCGCACCTTTAGGCCCATCTCCGCTGAATTTAATTCCTAAGCATAAGCAATCTATTAATTCGATAACGAGCTCAAATGGCTGTTGTAAGTCAGTTTAAAAGCGTCACAATTATAATTCGAGCATTAATGTTTGTATCCTCATTTTGTCTCATTTTGCAGACATTTACCAGGTTAGCCGGGTTTTGTGTCCGTTGCCCTCTTCCAGTTACGAACCCGCGCGCCGCACGCCGATCCACAACCATCAACAAGACACACACCACCACCACCCCACAACCATCTCATCCCCCACCATATACAAACGTTTGGTGAATGATAATTGGACGTGAGCACGAGTACCGTCTTCTAGAGACGTTCCTCACCCTGGATCCAAAAACTCTGGCCCAATGCGTCGTCGTCAACGGCTACCGGGCCCAGGGCAAATCGCATACTCTCCGCCAGTTTCTCAGCACATTAGAGGGTGTTACAGTGGTGTCTGAGCCGTGCGATCTTGCCATCAAAATAAGATTTGTATGCCAACGGCTATTGCGCCAAGTGAACGGAAACATCGCCCAAAACTGCGATACCGTGGCCACATTCATCGGCCTCTTCCGCCAGGCGACCAAAGACCTACCCCACGTCATCATTGTCTTGGAACGGCTCGACCAGTGCATTGAGGACCCCGAATCATACTACTCTGGGTTCGCTAAGTTGCGAGAATTCCTCCCCAATGTGTCAGTGGTGATGGAGGTCCAACTGCCGCCATGGGCCCTTGCGTCGATCGCAGAGGCAGTCAACATCCATTTCCCTACTTACTCGGAAGAGATGGTGGTGGCCATCCTTCAGAGTATCCCCGATATCGTGAAAACCCCCAACCAGCATTATAACACGTTCATCGAGTATATCGTCTACTACTACGACGCCATCACCGGCTCCGACGTCGAGCTGCTCATCTCCATTGCCCGCCACTTGTGGCCCAAGATCGACTTCGCCAATATCGACCTGAACAATACCTTTTTACGGTGGATACGAGACCACGCCCTGCTATTTGAGAAGATGGGGGTCGTCGACGATAATGTCGTGATTGAATACGGTACGTTTGAAGAGGAAATACCCACTGAAGGCAGCGACAACATCGATGACTTACCGCTCTACTCCAAATTCATTTTAATCGCGCTGTTCTTAGCGCTGTACATTGACCCTAAAAATGACCTTATCTTCTTTTCTCGTCACAACGTCAAGAAGAACAAACGATTATCAAGACGAGGTAACGAAAACGTTCTTCAAACGAGAGTGCAACAGGCTAACTTCTTCGACTTGGAAAGAATGATTGCCATTTTATCTACAATCTTCCGCCTGTACCTTTCGTCTAAGGATGAGCTTGCAGACACTTACAACGTGTACGACGACATCGAACACCGCGATCGCGAGCGGTTGCTGGAGATCGAGTCGTTTACCCTTGCCGCCAACATTGACTTGAATAACCAATTGGCGACGCTTTTGTCGCTTGGTTTGCTTGTCAAATCACAAAACTCGGACATTTTGGGGGCAAAAGTGCGGTGGCGGACATCACTCGACTTCCCAAAAGCGCTAAAGCTCGCTGCCGATGTCGAGTTCGACTTGGGCGAGTACTTCCCTAATGCGTAATTCATACCATAAAATAATTCATTAATTAATTAGCTTACAAATCAGTAGTTTCATCAATGGGAACAAACTCCCCCTCCGGTGATCGTCTAACCTCCACTTGTCCCTCAAAATGGTGGTGTTTCCACTCCACCATTTGTTCATGAGAATAGGGGCCGTGTACAGTTTCATCACCCACCCACCGGAAATACCATTCATTCTCAGGATCATCGTCTTCGTCTCGTCGGCGTTTAGTACCTCTAAATTCTTGGCCGTGTTCACGAGCGTAGCGACGAAGTAGCTCTTCTTTCAGCGCATCGTAGACGTCAAACAGCGACAATAGCACGTTACAGCACTCGGTGAGTTTGATCACCACCTCGGAGTTAGCTGAGCACCGAGTTAATGCCTCAAGCGGAGTTTCTGCTGGCTCAAGCAACTCAATAAGTTGTGGGAGAGCATCCGTCTTTGAAAGCGTAGTGGTTTGTTTGGCCAGAGTAGATGACGAATCCAGCTTTAACGAGGCCATCTGACTAAAATCAATTTCATCATTGCTAAAGTCTTCATCCTCACTAGGTTGATCTTTGGTCGTGAATGGCTCAAGCTTCTGTTGTGGCTCCCCGTTTTCTTCAGCTTCCTCCTCGTCGTCATCGCTATCGAACATGTCTGATCCCGAGTCCAACTGCGACTCATCGTCACCGCTATTGTCACCATTCACCTGGTTTTCTTCCTGGTGGGTTTCATCGTCGGTGAGGGGCTCTTCCTCAGAACTGTCCTCATACTCCGACACCGCCATGGTGCGAAACACCGCTACACGTCTCCACAATAAGGACCCTGAATTCGATTAGTCATCACAAATCACAATACTGGGTGTAATTCAATCAAATCGTAATGCCACTATTTATTTAACGATTGTGTAAGATTATGATACTGATACTGGTCTACAGGTACTTCCTCTGCTGATGCGCGATGCCTTAGTGAGACACCATATGACTGAAGACCTAGACCTCGAGCTGGTGCTTGATCTTGAGGACGATGCGTACCAAAGAGGGTTTGCTGAGGGCCAGGCCGAGCTGAGGCGAGAGAATTTGATCGAAGGGAAACAGTACGGCTACCAAACAGGGTACCAGCGGTTCGTGATTGTGGGCTACCTCCAAGCGCTTGTTGAGGAGTGGACGAAAGCTGACACGGAAAATAAGGCGACGTCTCACATCGCTAAGCTTAAACTGCTACTTGACGAAATCACGGTGGCGAATACCGAGGAATCGGCTCAGCTTTATGAGGATAATACCCGTAAGGCTCGCAATAAAGCCCGCGTGATTGCCCTGCTATTGAACGACACGGGAGCCGTCAGTGATATTGACGATATGTTGAAAGAAGTGTGTGGCGAGATCAGCGTACAAACCGACCCCAACGACATGTGGTAAACCCCACCTCGACTATAACTAAGCTGATTATTTTAATCAGCCAGAGAAACCAGAGTAAGCATATCTAAAACTGTCCTCTAGCATAGATGCCAAATCGGTGGCGTTCACATCACCAGTCAATAGATAATTCTATGGGTATTCATAAATTAATGACGATGACTAAAGAGTGTCTAGAAGGCAAAGTCATAGTCTAGACACTTGTGCAGACTTTCGAGCTTGTACTCAATGATGCCGCCAAGCTGACAATCGTTGATCCCGATCGTTAACCGCTCGCCGTGACCATTGTCGCTTTCAGTAAAATTGAGCCCAACACATTTGCCAATGTAGTCTATCAGTTGCGCTCGGTCAATGGTCCCCTGTTCCAACTCATCGATGCGGACGATGCCCACATGGTCGAGGGATTCCGCCCAGCACACGTACTCGCCCGCAGTCAGGAATTTACAGTTGCGGACGGGTCCGGCGTTGAGACTCAGCAGCTCACCCAAAGCGCCACTCCATCGGTGGAGCGGTTTCGACGGGCTCCGCCTATCCCACATGCACATCGTCGTGTCTTGGTTGCCACTTATGAGTAAGTTTTCGTTAGTTTTCAGCCAGTCACAGGAGAAGCCATAATCGTGGTGCCCTGAAAATCTCAACGTCTCCTCGTTGGTGCGTAAATCAATAATGTATGAGTCTATCAGGTCCACCACCACGTAGAGCAAGTCGTGGTTGGTGGCCAGGGGAGCGGCACAGTTCACTGCCAGCGCCAACTGAGTACGCAGCGTCGTCTTGTTTTTCGTCAAGTCGACGGTTCGTAGCAGTCGGTCGTTGCCCAGCACTCTCAAACAGGTGTCATCGACGATCACGTGGTTGGTGATGCCGTCAGGCTTATCGGTAAGGGTATATTCGCCCACCACTTTTGATGAGTCAGGGTCGGAAATGTCAAACAAGATGTAGCCGCCTTCAAACGTCCCGCATACAAGCCAGTTGTCATTACAGGCGAGGGTCAGCACCCGGCTGAAGGCATTTTTCGCGAGCAGCTTCAGCTCGACAAGACAGTCGAGTTTGACGGCACCGCTACGGGCGGGGTTATCGGCATCGATCATCATGCGGTTTATGGTGAAGCAGTCGTTATCGTTGGAAGGGTAGAACGAGGCGTACGAGTTGCAGCACACCAAGTTGCGGAGCTGAAAGTGGGTGATGTCGATACGGAGTTTCGGGTAGTACCGCTCAAATGTATAGAAGGAGTCGATGCCGTGCACTCCCGTCACTGTCAAATTCTAAAAGTTAGTCATGTTCAAGAAGAGGGCTGAAATTTAAGGAGGTAGGAGGAGGTATTGAAATAGGTTCGTTCCTCCAGTAAAGACATACCTTAACTGCTAGTTCACGCAGACGGTCAACGTTGTGGAACCACAGCTGGCGGCCGACACGCCATCGGTCGAGCTGGAACTTGCGGCGTAAGTCCCGGGTCCAGAGGATCCCTTGGAGATCGCCTCGGTGGGAGGGGCCAATGGTGAACGGCAAGTTCTGTTCGCGTCGCTCGAGACAGCCCAAGATGCCGTAGATATCTCGGCTGTTCAAATAGGAGTTGCGGTCGCTTAGTAAGTTCTCCAAGAACTGGAGCAGCCCCAGCTCGACCAGCTCGTACTCGTGATAGGTTTCCACTATCGTTTGCGACATCGGTCAAGAAAAATGGAGATGCCGGGTTAAGTGCCTGATGGTGAAGGCAGGTAGTAATCGGGTAGCAGGTACCTTCGTCGAAATCAAGCTGTTTTTGGTCGGGGGTGTCGCAGATGACTGAGGGGCGGGTGGGGTGGAGAAAGTGAAATGGTGTGGGTCTGCGAGTGAGCACTCGAGACCGGGCCGACGCCTAAATTTTGGTGATGGAAACTTCCTTGAAACCATTTGATATTACGTTGAAAGTGATGTTAAAGCTATTGATTTCAGTCTACCACTGTTATTTTTTGACCACATGGTGGTTGAGGTAATTTTGGTAATATTGGTAGGAGAGAGGGGTCATCCCCAGTGACATTCCAGCTAATACGATCCCATGTGGCTGGAAATAGACATGGCTATACGAGACCGGACTAAAGTTGTTGATCCGAGGGTTCCACCACTACATTAATTCTAGTACTATCATTTCTACAAGTTTTTTTTTGTTGTTTTCATTGTGGCTGGTTTTTGGGGTTGTTGCGGCGGTAACCATGACCAATGCGGAAACCAGATAACGTTTGTAGTCAAGAGCAAGGCAAAACAGGTGGCTTGATTCGCGGCGCCGCGAAGGGCATGGTAGCGCGTCAGTAGTACCAGTAGTACCTGCGTGATACTGCAAACTTGTTTGTAGAGTATATAGCGACAATTGAGACCCTGAAATTCCGATGGTGATGTGTATCAGCTCCCTTAGTGATAAAAATGAAGGGATGCAGGGTTACAATGGTGGTAACGGTTATTGTTGTTGTTGGCGGGGATACGATGGTGGATGACACGAAGCCATGGTTATTTCCGCGACGGCACCAATTTAAGTCAACCCCGTGGGTCACTAAAATTTTAACTAATGACGGCTTTTTTCGGATGATAGATTTGATATTGCTATCATTTAGTGATTTTTAGAAGTACTATTGACGGTAAATCGGAGTTTTTGATTGCCATTTTCGTTGGCGATGACTTTTTGTGCCCTGTCCTGGTCTCGGCCTCGGGGATTGATGTTGACAGTTGACTATTTCTTTTTTTTTAAATTCTGCACATAACAATTCAGTGCCCGCGTTCGATTCCGCGATGCGCCACTACGAGTTTATTCTTCGTGCTTGACGCTCCCCAGGTATGACTCAACCTCTACATAACGCGCCGTACGCTTATCGGCACGTGACACTGACATTTTCCAATCAGTGGTCGCAAATTTGTCACACTCAATTCAAACTTTTCAACCCATCGCTAACGGTCACAGTCTAAATCATGACATCGATCCGGTATTTCCTGGTCTCCACGGTGCTGCGCCGAGGACAGAACCTCACGGAAAAGATCGTCCAGAAGTACGCCCAGGGCACCAACAAAAAGGTGTTCAGCGGCGATTACGTCACCATTAAGCCCGCCCACTGTATGTCCCACGACAACTCGTGGCCGGTGGCGACGAAGTTCATGGGTCTTGGCGCCAAGCACGTCAAGGACAACCGCCAGATCGTGTGCACGTTGGACCACGATGTCCAGAACAAGCTGGAGGCTAACTTGAAGAAGTACGCCAACATTGAAAAATTCGCTAAGGAACAAGGCATTGATTTCCACCCTGCCGGTAAAGGGATTGGTCACCAAATCATGATTGAAGAAGGCTATGCCTTCCCCTTAAATTTGACGGTGGCCTCAGACTCTCACTCCAACACTTACGGTGGGGTGGGGTCTTTAGGTACCCCCGTCGTCAGAACCGATGCCGCTGCTATCTGGGCTACTGGTCAAACGTGGTGGCAAATCCCCCCCGTGGCTAAAGTGGAATTGGTCGGCGAATTAGCTCCCGGTGTTACTGGTAAGGATATCATTGTTAACCTTTGTGGCTTATTCAACAACGATGACGTGTTGAACCATGCCATTGAATTCACTGGCGATGGTGTGGCTAAGCTCCCCATTGACTACAGATTGACTATTGCCAATATGACCACCGAATGGGGTGCTCTCTCCGGTGTGTTCCCCGTGGACCAAACTGTGGTTGACTACTATAAGGACAGATTGAAGCGGTTAGGCAACGGTCACCCTCGTATCAATGAAGAGACTATTGCCCAATTGTCTGAGGATGCTAAACAGTACCAATCGGACCCCGATGCCGTCTACGCTAAGCACTTAGTGGTGGACCTTTCCACTTTGAGCCCCGCCGTGTCTGGACCCAACTCCGTCAAAGTGTCGACTCCCTTGGCCGAATTGGCGCCTCAGGATATCAAGATCAATAAGGCGTACCTTGTGTCGTGCACCAACCTGAGATTGCTGGACATCCAAGCCGCGGCCAAAGTGTTGAAGGGGAAGAAGATTGCTCCCGGCGTCGAGTTCTACGTCGCCGCGGCCTCGCTGAACGTGCAAAAGGATGCTGAACACGATGGTGCCTGGAACGATATTCTTGAAGCTGGCGCCACTCCCTTGCCTGCTGGCTGTGGCCCTTGTATTGGTCTTGGTGCTGGTTTGCTTAAGGACGGCGAAGTGGGTATTTCTGCCACCAACCGTAACTTTAAGGGAAGAATGGGGTCTAAGGATGCCTTGGCGTACTTGGCGTCGCCTGAAGTGGTCGCGGCGTCGGCGGTATTGGGGAGAATCGGCGGTCCCGAAGAACTTGAAGGTAAGCCTGTCCACCCCACTGTCCCCGTGAAGAAGCTGATCCAGCTGGGCTCGTCGGCGGCTACTGCCACCACTGAAGACGATGGCGCTGCTGTCGAAGTGTTGGACGGGTTCCCTAAGCAGATCACGGGTGAACTTATCCTTTGTGACGCCGATAACATCAACACTGACGGTATCTACCCTGGTAAGTACACGTACCAGGACGACATCACCAAGGACGAGATGGCGCGGGTGTGCATGGAGAACTACGACGGCGAGTTCAAAAACAAGACAAAGGCCGGCGATATCATTATCTCGGGTTACAATTTCGGCACGGGGCTGTCGCGGGAACAGGCGGCCACGTGTATCCTTGCCCGAGGGATGAAGCTCATTGTGGCGGGGTCATTCGGCAACATCTTCTCGCGTAACTCGATCAACAATGCGTTGTTGACATTGGAGATCCCCGACTTGATTAACAAGTTGAGAGAAAAATACAAGGGCAGCGACGAGTTGACGATCAGAACCGGGTGGACGCTCACTTACGACGTCACCAAGGCTCAAGTGACGGTTACCGACGAAAACGGTGACGTTGTCTTACAACAAAAAGTGGGTGAATTGGGCACTAACCTTCAGGACATTATCGTCAAGGGCGGTCTCGAAGGCTGGGTCAAAGAAGAAATCAAGAAGTGATTTAAGGGGGGTGTGACAAAGTAACTAATTAGACAAATAGACGAAACACATAGACAGGCTACGCCGTTGCTTTTGCGCTGTCACGTGGCGCTGTTGGTCGCGGCGGCGACATCGCCGATTAAGTTTTTAGGTTACAATGATTTCAGGGGGGGATGAGGCGGCTGGGTGTCGTTGGCGAAGGGCTAGCCTTCCCAGAAAAAGCTTATTGCGAGCGATTAACGGTAAGTGTCAAAATTGCTCCCCTTGGCATCTAAGAACAACGGGCAAGCAACCTTCGTCCCTTGACGACGTTTGGGGGAGCCATCATCGGGGGGGCAACCACGGCAAGTAGCATGTGTCAAAGAAGCGGGGGGAAGAACTACGACAGCATCGTCATTAGGCAAGGTCTCATTAGTATTTCTTTAGTGGGCGGCCACGTTTGTCATGAAATGAGACGGATATTAATAACTCCGATAGGTGCCGCATGTGAGGATGTCCGACACCCCGTGACATGCGGGAGGCTGTCAGAATTTGTGTTATTTTTTTTTTTCTGCGGATTGTCGGGAAATGACTCACGTGACCCAACGTTTCACCGGAGTTTATGCACTTTAGGCAAAATGTATTGGCAAACGATTTCACCGCCGCTTAGCAACCGAGAATGGCAATAACGATGAGGCGATAAAAATGGGGACCTGGTATTCGAGTAAACGGCTGGTTGAGGGTCGCCATAGGGGGTTACTGGAAGCGGTAATGCCAGTTCCGGTGACGGTGGTCATGTAGTGGTGATGCCGGCGACGCCGGTGACGTTGACACACTCCCTCTCTTGCTTGTGTGCAGGTCGCCGTTTTGATGACCTATAATGTGGGGCATAACCCTGCCAGCACGATTATAAATACTCGGCGACCTCCGACCACAACAACGACAAACATTCCTTTTAACAGCATGGCCATCTCCGTCCCCATTTTCTTCAACAAGGACTTCAACGTCTACAACCGGGTCTACACCACCTTCGACACCTTCCTCTACTACGTCATCAACATCTTGATGTGTGTGTTGATCTTTGGCGAGATGGTGGTGGAACAGGTGGAGCTGGTGTGGTACCTGATAAACATCGTCAAGGCGCTGGTCCAGCACAAGCTTTACAATAATATCAACTGAGCCGGGGCTGTTACTGGGCCTATGCCATCGTGGAAATATTTCACACTGATGGCTTACTGGGGACGACCCTCCCAAAACCACCCGTCTCCAATTCGGAGGCTGGTCGTCGTCCCTACGAATATTGTCCGATGACCCCAGCCGGAGTCCCCACACTATTTTGGCTGTCGATCCCAGGTAGTGTTGTGGGTGCAA